AGCCATTCATATGATGCATCAAATCTTGGACAAATATTGTTAGAAACACTTTAGTACAAGTTTCACAATTATAATTATTTGTAATTGTCTACTTGATATTACGGCTCTCTCTAAACACCCGGACTCGGGGAGAGAGAGAGAGAGAGAGAGAGAGAGAGAGAGAGAGAGAGAGAGAGAGAGAGAGAGCTAGTGTTGTTAATCCAAATATTAAGAATCGAAGTGTAGTATCAAAACATTTGTTATAATTGTGAATAACGGTTGAGGGCCACCGGACTAACAAACAACAAACCACCGCTATGCGTGCTAGTGGCTGTACAAGAATTTAAGAATTGTAAAATAAAATCAAACAGGCATGACAGGGTGGATTTCATTGAAACTTTCAAAATACTGAACAATTTTCCAAAATTTCTTCAAAGTCAGATGTAATACAAACAAGGAGCAAAAGTTTCAAGCTCGACAAGCCACAATGTAGGACTAAGAACAGGAGATGCTCTTTTTACCCACAGGGTTATAAAACCATGGAACCGCCTACCTGCCGAAGCCGTAAATGCCAAAAAAAGTTAACTTTTATAGTACAACTGGAAAAGATCCTCAACACAAATAGGGAAGGGGGACGTTTAACAATCCGCCGGCGCCCTGTCCTCGTCGAGGCCACTAATGTTAGTGACTCTTGGGGTAAAATCGGGTAAATAAACAGGTACTATGAGTACCAGCCGCTATTGTGAGTACCGGGGGAGTGTGAAGTTGGTGTGAGTGGTGTAGGTTAGGCCCCCCTGGTATACGTCACCTCACGGGAGTGGTGTAGGTTAGGCCCCCCTGGTATACGTCACCTCACGGGAGTGGTGTAGGTTAGGCCCCCTGGTATACGTCACCTCATGTTAGTGGTGTAGGTTAGGCCCCCCTGGTACACGTCACCTCATGTTAGTGGTGTAGGTTAGGCCCCCCTGGTACACGTCACCTCATGTTAGTGGTGTAGGTTAGGCCCCCCTGGTACACGTCACCTCATGTTAGTGGTGTAGGTTAGGCCCCCCTGGTACACGTCACCTCACGGGAGTGGTGTAGGTTAGGCCCCCCTGGTACACGTCACCTCACGGGAGTGGTGTAGGTTAGGCCCCCTGGTACACGTCACCTCACGGGAGTGGTGTAGGTTAGGCCCCCCTGGTACACGTCACCTCACGGGAGTGGTGTAGGTTAGGCCCCCCTGGTACACGTCACCTCACGGGAGTGGTGTAGGTTAGGCCCCCCTGGTACACGTCACCTCACGGGAGTGGTGTAGGTTAGGCCCCCCTGGTACACGTCACCTCACGGGAGTGGTGTAGGTTAGGCCCCCCTGGTACACGTCACCTCACGGGAGTGGTGTAGGTTAGGCCCCCCTGGTACACGTCACCTCACGGGAGTGGTGTAGGTTAGGCCCCCCTGGTACACGTCACCTCACGGGAGTGGTGTAGGTTAGGCCCCCCTGGTACACGTCACCTCACGGGAGTGGTGTAGGTTAGGCCCCCCTGGTACACGTCACCTCACGGGAGTGGTGTAGGTTAGGCCCCCCTGGTACACGTCACCTCACGGGAGTGGTGTAGGTTAGGCCCCCCTGGTACACGTCACCTCACGGGAGTGGTGTAGGTTAGGCCCCCCTGGTACACGTCACCTCACGGGAGTGGTGTTGGTTAGGCCCCCCTGGTACACGTCACCTCACGGGAGTGGTGTAGGTTAGGCCCCCCTGGTACACGTCACCTCACGGGAGTGGTGTAGGTTAGGCCCCCCTGGTATACGTCACCTCACACTTAACAGACACACCAACGTTCCAGCACGCCACAGATAGCACCAGTGGGTGCAGCTCACTGCCCTTTCAGCCAGGGGGTCAGGACCTATTCACGTAACTTCTCACAGACCGCCAGAACAGCTTTTATGTATGTGATTTTTAACCTTTATAGGTTTATATACAACCCCCTCAACAATTATATTAAGAATTAGTAAATCAGTATAGCTTGTGAGCGTGCGTGCCCGCGCGCACACGTATCGAAATGTATATTTTCTTCTTCAGTAATCAACACTAAAACTGGTGTGAAGACATGTGAAACTCTCGTATCTGCAACAGGAGCAGGACAGGTAAACAAAAAACTGGTCTTCAGAAGGACGGCAGAGGAATATTAACGAGGTTAAGAGAGGCCTTGGGTCAGGTCCACAACCGACCCCGCCCTTTCTGTAGGGCGAGGGCACCAGGTCCTCGCTCCCCGCCCTTTCTGTAGGTGAGGGCCACCAGGTCCTCGCTCCCCGCCCTTTCTGTAGGTGAGGGCCACCAGGTCCTCGCTCCCCGCCCTTTCTGTAGGTGAGGGCCACCAGGTCCTCGCTCCCCGCCCTTTCTGTTGGTGAGGGCCACCAGGTCCTCGCTCCCCGCCCTTTCTGTAGGTGAGGGCCACCAGGTCCTCGCTCCCCTCCCTTTCTGTAGGTGAGGGCCACCAGGTCCTCGCTCCCCGCCCTTTCTGTAGGTGAGGGCCACCAGGTCCTCGCTCCCCGCCCTTTCTGTAGGTGAGGGCCACCAGGTCCTCGCTCCCCGCCCTTTCTGTAGGTGAGGGCCACCAGGTCCTCGCTCACCGCCCTTTCTGTAGGTGGGGGCCACCAGGTCCTCGCTCCCCGCCCTTTCTGTAGGTGGGGGCCACCAGGTCCTCGCTCCCCGCCCTTTCTGTAGGTGGGGGCCACCAGGTCCTCGCTCTCCGCCCTTTCTGTAGGTGGGAGCCACCAGGTCCTCTCTCCCCGCCCTTTCTGTAGGTGGGGGCCACTAGGTCCTCGCTCCCCGCCCTTTCTGTAGGGCGAGGACACCAGGTACTCGCTCCCAGCCCTTTCTGTAGGTGGGGAAGGGGAAGGGAACTATCAGGGGGAAAGCCCCAAGCCATTACGACTATATAGCACTGGGAAGGGGTCAGGAGAAGGATTTAGGATGGGACAGGGGGGAAGGAATGGTGCCCAACCACTTTGACTGTCAGGGATTGAACGCCGACCTGCATGAAGCGAGACCGTCGCTCTACCTTCCAGCGCAAGTGGTTGGGCACCAACCACTTGGTGATACCAGGTCAGGGTGATATAAGTGGTATAAATGCCTTTGAAGGGGGAGCATATGTAAAACTTGGTATGGCTTCAGACAAAGCCTCCAGTCGATTCAGTAGAAGTCCAGGTTGTATAACTTGGCGCAGGTCAAGGTGGTACAGTGGTAGAGGTTGCGGCTGGCGGTCTGTTGGGTCGCTGGTTCGAGTTGCCGAAGAGCTCCAGTAAATTTTCTGTTGATATATATCACGTTAGTGTGATTTCTCTCTGTGTAATTATTATTATTATTATTATATTTCTTCATATTTTGTCTTTTGCGACAACTTCACTCTGGCCCTGGAGGGAGGAGGTTTTCCTTTTCAAGATCCACATCAATCCCGGGTCGCTTTGGCAACAACGTTTGGCACCCTGCGCCAGACCCATCAACCATACAGGCTGCCATATTCTGGACCCATCAACCGCATTTACCTACATCCACTAGACCCATCAACCGCATTTACCTACATCCACTAGACCCATCAACTACAGTCAACCCCATCCACTGGATCCACCAAACAAACCGGTTGCCAGTCACTGAATCCACTAACCACACAGGCTGCCAACCACCGAATATATCAATTACAGACTACCATCCACTGTACACATCAACTAAACTACCTGCTAGCAGTCAGACCCATCAACAACGCCGACTGCTGAATGCTTGCTTCATCAACCACACGGCTTACTACCTGCTAGATCCATCAACCACTCGACTTATAAACCACACAGGAGAGAGAGAAGGATGGGCTGACTGCATCTTCCTTGGTGGCCAGAGAGCCTTCAACACTGTCACACAACAGGCCCACACAAACGTGGCAAGCAAACTGAAGTAACTGGAAGAGTGTTGAACTGTGTGGGTGAAACGCCTATCCAACAGAAAGCAAAGATTAGTAGTGAGATTGGAGAAATCACAATAAAGGAGAGCAACAAGCGGAGTTCCATAGGGTATCAGTGGCCCTCCAGGAACCTGGACAAGAAAGTTTTCATGACATTGTACACTACTTGTGTTAGAGAAGTACAATACTCTAACCCCAGTGTGGGATCTACACCAAAAGAGGCACAAAGGGTTTCTAAAGACAAACCAGAGGTTTACTGCGAGACTGGTCCCTGGTCAAGGAGGACAGAGCTATGAGAAAAGACTGAGGGAACCCGGCATCACACGCTGGAAAAGAATAAGGTCAGACGCAAATCCTTACAATATATATGAGATTCTTAGAGGCATTGGCAAAATAGAAGAAATCGAAATGAGATTTCGAAATGCATACCAGGATGAGACGAGAGGTCATGGGTGTAAGGAGCCATGATGGTGTAACGAGGCACTTCTTCAGTGTAAGAATAGTGAGCAAATGGAATGAGATAATAGGGAAAGTTGAGAGCTAACCCCATACTCCATGATGTAAATTATTTCAAGAGTTCTAAAGACGGGACCCAGGAGCTAATGCCCCAAAACACACACACAGGTGAGTGTAGACCACAAACTACTCGGTCTACTAACTGTTCCACCCACCTGGCCGTATACCTCGTATATAAACACTATGCTGTTTATAATATCTAATGAAAGTCGGTGGATATAACAATAATGTCACTGACCTCCCACATCTAGCCTTCCATTGACTCATGAACCCTTAGGGCCAACATTCTCACAAACACCATCACCAAAACATCCCAGGGGTATCAGGCACCATGCCACTGGAACAACCACTTTGAAGCAGTGAATTACACTTTTGGCACACGAATTACCCTCACAAACCGGAATTTTCTGTTTGGCTTTTTTCCCCTCCAACGGAGAATAGCTATCAAGGAGATATGAGGAGAGAGGGAGGGGAAGGAGAATGGGTTGATGGGGTGAGGGTGTCCAGGGCCTGGACCAGGTCACCACCAAGTTGGAAAAAAAACTAGCTGCCGTCACCAGTATATAAGGCGTCGGTGCCCATCTTGGATCATCAGTGGTGCTCCAGCCTTCCTCGAGTGCAATAGTCAACCCAAATCGCACAAGACAAAATGAAGGTAAGTCCTTTCTATGTCAATTTCCATTAGTCACTCATTGTGTATGTCACACACTTTATAGTTTTATTCTCTGAATAGCCTCAACATGAAGTACCGGCAATATAGATATTATTTAACTTAGTGCAGGACTGGTAGAGTTAATGCGCTGGGCACGGCTTCACCGTTTTCTTTACAGTTGTGCTGGTGAAAGTTATTGTCACTTAATTATTCATATGAGACTTGGAAGCATTGGCGCCGTAAATATTTTATCCTCGTCAGACTGCACTTTCTATCCCTGTGATTATTGTCCGTCACTGTCGCTGTGCTACCGTCAAGTGTCACTGTCCGGCCCGTCCCGGCGGTCAGTCGTTGCCGTCCAATATGGTTTTACGGAATTCATTAATTTTCGTACTGTTTCCACTGTATTCCCGGCGACTGTCACCAGTCACTATTAGGTGTCACTACCAGTCGCTAGCATCACTGTTATACTGCCTGTCTCTGCCACATCACCCTTCTGTGTCACTATCCTGCAATATTTCTTTTATAATAGCATTAGCCGCCACAAACCTAATCAAAATATTAATAAATATACTGGTTTCACGACAAGCTTCGCATACATCTGAATAACCATCTTGTTCGCATGGCCATGTTTAGTTTATTATTATTGTCTACCACAGACGTGGTCACACATTTACAATGCTAACCAACATATACATACATTTTCTTCTGTCCTCCATGGACAGGGTGAGAGATTTGTCAAACTTGTAGTTCTAGGCGTGTTTTGTTCTCTTCAAGTACGTTTATTGAGACAATAAAATGCATCTCAAAAGAGATAGAGTAGCTTAGGCTATTTCTACCCTCTTGTATTTTCGTGTGTATCAGGAAGAGAGATGTGTCAACCCTCGTCTGATCGAGCTTCATCTCTTAAAATTGAAATGATAAAATGATCTTATCATTTTAATCATTTTAGACGAGGTCTCGCGTTCCGAGACGAGAGACAAATTAAATCATCCGGGGGGAAGCCTCTCTCATTTTCAGGCATCGCGTGCCGAAGTTTCCACCTTTTGAATTGAACGATTTCCAGAACGATGTTGTTTATTGAACAGATGACCCTGGGCGCCAGGTAGAGTAGTTATCATCCTGACCTTCTCCTGGTATGTTGCAGGTCATCGTGCTGATGTGTTTGGTGGGCGTGGCCCTCTGTGCCCCGCAGCAATTCCAGAAACAAGAAGAAATTGTAAGTTTTCTGTAATGATGCAGTTACATCCACTGTTATATTATTCTGGTCTAATGACAATAAACATGGTGTAAGATTTAAGTCATGAATGTAATACTGATGATTTACATAAAGATAAACTTGATATATATCTGGTAGACGTGCGTGTGATCGCTGAATTTAGAGTCTGCAAGTGACGTTGTCTTCCCCCCCCCCCCCTCAGGACACCCCCGAGCCATACGAGTTCAGCCTCAACGTTGCTGACGACGAGTTCACCAACTACCAGTCCCGCCAGGAGAGCCAGGACGCCAACGGCGTGGTACAGGGCGTCTACTCCTTCGTGGCCCCCAACGGCATCCGCTACACCACCTCCTACACCGCCGACCCCATCAACGGCTTCCAGGTACTGTCAATATCATATGATATATTTTTAACTTAATTTGTTGTGCTACTTGCAGGGTAATGATCGGTAATTTCACATACCATATAGTAGAGTGGGGAAGTGAATTGTCACTTCAAAAGCGAAATTATCAAACGTGACAAATGTGAATGCTTTACAAATATACCGTGAAACAAAGATTTAAGCTTTGCTCTGTGGTAAAAATGTAGTCATTATAGGTATGCCATTTCTGGAGGCTTGAGTCAGTCCACACTACACGTTGGAACACAGACTTGTAGCCATAAAAAAACATTAACACGTCAGCTAATAACTGTGTTTGTGCATACATATAGAGATGCAAAATGTTATTAATATACATTGTAAAGCGTGTTAAAGATCACATTTAGCAGCATAGAAAAGTGAAGTGTGTGTATGGTAACCTTGCAGGCCAACACCGTGGAGGAGCAGACCAACATCCAGGTGGTGATCCCAGTCCACCCACCACCTAAGCCCTAAGCAAGACTTCAGAAGATGGAACCTCTCTACCTACCACCCAACCCCCCGCTGCCAGCACCAACAACCACAGTCTACTGACCTTCACGACATGGAAGTCAACAGCTCCTCATGCCGAGCCTCTATACCCTTGTCTTTCCTCAATCTCTTTGTTTTTAACCTACGTGGTGATGTAGCCTGTATGGAAATATTTTGAAGAGCGATGTCTTGGTAGCTCTACATTTCACACTACTTCTCACACAGTCTTACTCTACGAAACTCTCCAGAAACATTCATTTCATCTCCATTACAAATGGTTTCTTTACATTTAGTTTCTCTCTTCCTCGTAGTAGCTCCAAGCATGCAGGGTTATCAACAGATTTTGGACAATAATTTAGGCTAGTTTGGATAAGGAAGTCACCAGTCCTATTCAGTCCTGCCTGATGTAAATATTGTATATAAATATGACGTCATGAATGAATAAGCTCTACATTCACTGTTGAGTTCTATAAATTCACTGATTACCGATTATTTGCATTGTTTGAGGAGGACTGGTTTTGTTAAGTTAAAAACTCAATTATTCCTACGATCGTTAAATATATCTAAGTCATACCTTGTTACATAGTTCTTATTGATTCTCAACACTTCTCATCTTCTATAAATCTTTATGCTTAACTATCAGAGACCTGTCTCTTGTGTACAACTCCAACAGCTTGATCTTATAAACTCTTTGCTTAAAGCAACTCTTTCTTTCTATCAACTGTATAACTTTCACTCTTGTTATCTTATCTACCATCTTATTTATACCTTAAGTTACTTTCCCCGAGTCTGCACCCAACTTTTCCCCTTGACTATACTCTTCTACGCAGTGTATGCGAGTGTGTGTGTATTATGAGGACGTGTGCGTGCGTGCGTGAGTCCAGGGAAGGCGCAGAAGCTTTAAGCATGAGCTGGAGCCTGCGCCTTCCACCAGTCACTTGTGTTGTAGTCAGCTTACCTCAGCTTACTGCTCGCCTTGTGAGTTAGTACAAATAAACTTTGGCTTGCAAGCTCCTGGTTTCCTCTTCATACCTTGTGATAGTTGGGAAGATTCTGACATTACTTCCCGTGTGTAAAACTAATTAACAAAGACATAAAAAGATAAGTAATGGAAATGATAAATGCCTCGAAATAATAACAAATGAAATAAAATCCAAATTGTTGTTGTTTAATATATATTAATTTTGGACTATAAAACAAAAGCCAAAATGGGGCATAATACAAGTGTCAGATATCCACTACCAAAAGGAGTAAAGCAAATAAAGTTTTACTCTAAGCAACAACACTTGACACTTAATTCATTTTATAAATCATCTAAGACTGCATGAACACCTTGATTACACCGTTGGATTTGTTTAACTGTCAACAGGTCACACTTCAACAGAAACAACAGTTGTTCACAGACTACTAGTGAAGACTGAACAATTGATATAGCTCCACGTACAAAGAGTCGGCTGCAACAGCCACTAACACACTGAAAAATACAGGTAGAGTAATTTTCTGTGACACAAGTCAGCCTTTCAGACACCTGAAAACTCCACTTACAAATATAGATACAAGGAAAATACTTAACTTACAAGTTAAGATTAAACCAGATTACATGAAATTCCTGGAGTTTTGTAACAATTTAATTTGCTAACGGATATTATAAGATATTCTTATGCTTCCCAAGATGTGCAAGTGCATATAAACTATAATAGTTGCTGAAAACACTGAAAACAGGAGAGGCTCTTTCACCCACAAGGTTATAAAAAAAAATAAACCCATTGAACCGCCTACCTGCCGAGGACGTAAATGCCAGAAATCTGTTAAATTGTAAAAACCAGCTTTAAAAATCATTAGGGGTAAACAGGGGGATATTTGACAAGCCGCCGAATACCTGTCCTTGTCGAGACCACTAGTGTTAATGGGCCGCTGGTAAATTCAGGTAAATACAGACTCGCATTCCATGAATGATTAACCGTTCTATAAAATGGGGGATATTAGGTGAACATATACTCAGATACTTATTAACCCCCCCGCAACATATAGACTAAGGTAACAGTACTGTTCATTATTATTATTATTAGCAGTAGTATTAGTATTATTATATTAGGTTTATATTTATGATCGGTGGGGTATCTGTGATTAAAGTTTTACATTGAGGGTGGCTGAAGTATCAGCTGTGGTCCATGTTGTGTTGTGTGTGGTGGAGGCTGGTGGGCGCTCCTCTGCTCTCTTCAACCCCCTCGCCTTCAACAATTGACTCTCTCTCGTAATTATTTTCTCCGAAACTATGTTTACGTGAGGTATTTGTTCACTTTTTCATTATTGGTTCGAGATACTACTATGTAGTAGCAATAATCATATTGTTCATCGGGAAGTATAATCCTTTGTGTATATAAAAAGTTGATACAGTAATATGGCTGCTTCTATTGACGTATGTCCACTTGATAAACTTACATGGCTTGCTATTTAGAAAGTAAATAAAAATGATACAAAAGAAAATAAGTTGTCGGCTGCCTGTGCTCTGGTAACCTAACCAAGCCTAGCCAAACCTAACCTCGGTTAAAAAGGTGGATTAGCCCCGATAATATGAAAATATGATTGGCTGGTCAACTGTATGACTGGTTGTATATGTTTATTTATCAAACTTGTTCTAATATGTACATGTTGGATACAGCTGCCCGAGGGGTCTGGGGGTGGGTGTGGGGTGGGCTGACCCGAGAGGTCTCAGGGTGGGTGTGAGGTGGGCTGACCAGAGGGGTCTATTAGCTATTTTACAAGATTTGTTGTTTACTTGTAGCTAGTATTTAGAGCTTTTCACACTAGCTGTGTTAGACGGACATGGCTAATGGAAGTTCTTGCCACCTGGTAACTTCACTTGGCTCCATCTTCAAGGTAGAGTCTGGAAATTGGTGTCACTGAATGTTTTCCTGAAAGCTGAGTTGGATGAACTTTGGGAGGAGATGAAACTATTTAGGTAATGAGTGTTTCTAAAAAAGAAATGGAAGAAAATAAGTATAGCAACAGTAAGAAATCATCTGGAAGTTGTCCTAGAGACATACCTTATCTGTGAAGATCTGTACAGTACATGCAATATTAAAAAAAAAAAAAATATATAAAATTGTTTGTACAGTACTGTATTTCACATTCTACTTTTTCCATAAGAAATATCCTTCCAGTTTGAACCTAGACACTTTAATAACTACTAACTTGAACCTAGACAGTGTACTGAAGAGCATGTATTATACTGTACCTGCATAATTTAGATGTTGATTGTTCATAATAAAATTAAGAAATTTGATACCATGTTGACAACATTAATTAAGAAATTATGACAAAAATGTGGTTTGAGTGTTCTGTACTTAAATGCTTTAGTATTACAGTACTACTGTGGTACACAAATATAATGATAACTTTTAATGTTCAATTTTTTTTCCAGTTGTGTGCTATTTTAAGATGGAGCTACAGTTGTGTATCATCCAAAGATGAAGATATAAGAAAATTCTATGTTAGAAATTGGTGAAATCGTAAAAGTAGTAGTTCTTTGACAGCAGTTTCATATAAATGAATTCTTTCTTTTTAAGCAGTAGTCATTACCTTTCCTTAAGCAGCAGTTACCTCTGTGCCTTTGGAAAATGGAGTATAACAAGAGAGAAATGTATAAAGCTCAAAGAAAGATTAAAAGATGCATCAATATTCTTCAGAGTGATATGCCTGACATCTATATCTCCCACACACCAACCAAGGTAATAGAAATAGTTATGTGCAACAGTAATACAGTTGTAAAGTGATGTATTTTTTAACATGAATTAAATATAGGTTAAAATGCATGTACTCTTAATGTGGGTTATTTGAATTATGATACTGTAAAATGTTTAGGTATTGCATTTGGGGATGATTAATTTATAACTATCAGAGATAGGTGGGAGTAGTAATTTATTAGGTACTGTATTTAAATTAAGTGGGATTAATTTGAATACAGCACCTAGTCTCCTCAGCTTGGCACCTTTTTTTGATTAATTATTTACTTAAGTAGGATTTTTAATTACATACTGTATATATATATATATATATACAAATAAAATCTTGATTGATGAACATTGAGTCATAATATTCTATCTGATAACATAATGAAAGAATATAGTTAATGAGAAAGCTTGAACTATTAACCATACATAATACAAATCCATATTTCTGGAATTTCATATTTGCATATACAGTATGGTACTCATCCCAGGGACAGGAATATGTTCGTGAATTATTGAGACAATGCGTGAGACTATGTAGCCATATATCCAGTTACTGGCCTGACCCAGTGATGTCTAACCCGACTAAGCAAAGTGCTAATCATCTGCAGTTCTTCAACACAAACGTTATAAGAAGTTTGATATTGTACTGTTAGCATAATTTGGATAAAGAGCCTAGACACAGATGAGATCCTAGAGAGATTAAAGCCTGCAAACATAGCATTCCTTCACAATTAAATTAGCAAAACATGGTAAAAAATATCCAGATCATACCCATAATTACTAGCTTTATAAAATAGAGTATACAAATGCTGGACCTACTAAGTAACCACCATAATTTGATCATTTGCATATCTTATTAGTATAATCGTAGAGAAAATCAGTAGGAGCCATGGAGAGGATTCGAACCTATGCTCCGGGTACTCTCGGGCCCCTACCGATTTTCTCATCGATACATCACATTAATGTGATTTCTTTGTGCAAAATATTACTGTATTATTTTTATTTACTATTATTATTTACTAATACTGTACTGTTTGATTTTTCACAGCATGTTTTTATAGCTAATGCTGGGCTGACCACAAATGCTGATGAATCTTCACTGGTTGAACTTATTACATCAATTGGATGTGGTCTGGAAGCTCTTACATTAATCCCAGGCAAGCAGTACAGCTTTGCCTCCTTCTCATCCTCTGACCAAGCCCAGACTGTGTTACAGGCTGCTCATGGCCAGCTTAATGTACGAGGATCTGCTTCTCCTGTATATATGTCCTATGTAAATAAAGGTAAGCTGTGTAATGTTGGCTATGATTCAACATTTATTAAATACTGCAATATAATTGTTAGGCTAAAGGAATTTAGAATAATGGAGAAAAGTATAGCTTTAGAAGTATAGACATGGATATTTTCCAGTATTCACACGTCCTCTTTCTACCAGTGCCATTAGATCCATCACCAATACAGTTCAAGTTACCTCCAGGATTGATGGTCTTGGAGGATTTTATATCGGCAAAGGAGGAGATACAACTGATGCACTTAATTGATTGGGGCGATAACCCTCTAGACACGGCTGAAGGTAGGAACTAACTATACCATTGCATTGAATCATTAATTCACTAACAGTACAGTACTGCATAGTGAAGTTACCAATTTTTATCTAAATGAATTATATATAATGGGCATCTGGATGCATGTAGGTCTTCCTTAAAACTGTATATAATTCAGTACTGTTTTATTTTGATCAGAATGAAATGGGTGACTAGTGAGTATTCTGTATAAAATTATTTAATTATTTTGTATTGTTACCTCTGGAAATTACATTACAAAACAGTATAATCTACTGGAAATTTGGAATGAAGTTATAAATTCCATAAAGTGTTTGTAGACAAGATCAACTGTTGGAAAGTTTTCTCCAAAATCACTCTGAAAAATGTTTAATCCATTACCAAGAGAAATTTATAAGTAAACTGAATTTTGTCTGGTAAACTTTTATATATATTTTACAGTAAAATGTGTACAGTATTAATAAATACTGTTGTGAACGTTAAAACACAGCATAAACCGGGCTTTCTCGCATACAGTATTTTGCTTCAGTGGATGCAAAATGGTTTCTTCATAAAACATAATGAGTTATCTGACATTTATAAGGTCGGTGACATGCATACATTACTGGCCTGGTTCCCAAGTAGTAGGTTGCAATCTACTTATGGTGTATTAATGTTTAACATTAATGGCTGTTTACACCAATTATGCAGGGAACTGTTCGATTAAGCTGTCGATGTGAGGGGAACTTCATAGATACAGTTGCAATCTTGCCAGTGAGGTTAAAAAAAAAAATTTTTAATCCTAAATTTTTTTTTTTTTTTAATCTTACACAGTATTGTTCCCCCTGTATCTTCAGGGATTATGCCTCCCAACCCCATGAAAGCTGAGAAATGAGGTAATAATGATTTTAATGTTTATTTTAGGAAGCATTCTGAAACATCGTCAAGTTCGTCACTTTGGCTATGAGTTTAAATACAGCAGTAACTCGGTTGACAAAGAAAATCCTTTGGTTCAGAAAATTCCACCAGACTTGACACCCATTATCAAGAGATTTGTTGAACAGGGTTGCATGCCAGTTGTCCCAGACCAGTTGACTGTCAATAGATACCTCCCAGGCCAGGGTAAATACTGGATTTTAATTGTTGTTCTAAGTCTTGTATATATTTATACACTTCAAATCCTATTTTTTTCTATTGTGTGCAAGGTCAAAAGACTAATTTAGTAGCACTTAGTTTAAGTTACCTGAAAATAAGCATTTTGTATTTGTTCAATATTTTAAATACTGTAATGTATTTGGTCAAGTTTTGTTTATCTAATTGATATCAAAGAAATGACTTGTATTTAGAACTTTTGTAAACGATGAAATGTACGAGAAAATGAAAAAAAAATGACAAATAAAAACGAAATGTATTCCTATTGGAATGTACAGTGTTGCTTACTGATATAGTACCTTGGCCTAAATCAAACTGTCTTTCCATAGCAGTAGGTGATATAGCAGTGCATGTTCAACTTTAATTGTAAAATTTTTACTCTTATCTTCTGAAGTTAAAGCTTTATGATTAAAAGAAAACCGAGTTGGCAGATAATGAGTAACTGATGTTTGTCTATTTTGGAGATATATATATGAGAAACATTTTAATACACACAATTGTTTTAATAATTAGGTTTGTGTGTTAATGAAGCATTCTTGTGTGTTTAGGAATACCACCCCATGTGGACACGCACAGCTCATTCACAGACGAGATTTTGTCGCTGAGTGTAGGTGGCGGAGTAAATATGGACTTTCGCCACACATTTAGCAACAGTGAAGAAACTAAAGACAAGCCACGCCACTATGTTGTTTACCTCCCTCCAAGATCACTGTGTGTCATGACTGGACCAGCAAGGTCAGCTAATCTCTTATTAGGTATGCTTAGTAGAGATACTTTATAGTGTAGCAGAGTATTTTTGCTTTTGTTTTCTGTAGTTGTCCTCCGATATCTTGAGAATGCTTTTGCATATACAATAATATACATATATTTTTATATTTATATAGATTAGCATATACAGTATTTTTGTAAAGAGGGGGAGGGAAATATGAATTGTTAAGCATACTCATATTATTATTTGTATTGTGGGATAAGGCTTGTGAATATCTCCCTCAATCAGCTCCAGTTGAAATATATCATGCCCAAGTTATTAAGCTGTTGCAACAAATTATGGGATAAAAAAATTGCTAATTATATTTAATGTTTTTTTAATCATAAACTGTATGTCAATTCTCATTTTCAGATATGAGTGGTCACATGGCATTTGTCCACGCATGACGGATGTTGTTCCTAACAAGAATAGCACCACTGGGTTGCAGCTTTTACCTCGCGAAGAACGAGTATCATTTACATTCAGAAAGATTCGCCAAGGAGAATGCGGTTGCCAAAATTCCAGTGTTTGCGATTCTTACAAGAAATCAAAGTGTGATTAAAAATTCTTCTTTTACTCTTAATATAATATAAAATCTTAAACCCTTAACATGCAGCTATGGATTTGCACTTACTGTATGTCCGCCTAGGTACAAAAAAAATATAAAATGTTTTCTCTAAAGAATGATTAATTTTGATGCAAAACCTTCTTTTTCATTCTTTCCTTTCTCTTCCTGATGTGTTTTTCATAAAGTTAGTGCTGAAACTTGTATACGTTCTAAGGAACATGGGAAAGTTCATTACATGTACAGTACTTGGTGGGTAATGTTTATTTACAGCCAATTATTAATTTCTTATCTTTCACTATGATTGAAATAGTCTTCTCAGCTTGGTGTCTTTTTGTGTTAATTACGTTTATTGTGATTGCATGTTTCGAGCTGCATTATTTGGCTGCACTGTCAAGATCCCACCATGTTCTTGGATGTAGATCGTGTATGGTCAGGTAGGGGCAGCATAAATTGTAGTGCCACAATAAATTTTCAAGTAATCCTGTAGGGTCATCTGCTGTATGTGCTAAGGAAATCGATTAAATAATTTCAGTAATTGCACTTCATTGTTGGGCTGTCTGGTAATTCCGCTGAATGCCACCAGGAATATGGAGGAAGCATCACTCCTAAGTCCACTAACTCCTGGATTGTAACTCGAGCCACCACACATTTTACTGACAATAAGAAGTGACTGCACAAGACAGGGATCAAATAGAAAAGGGAAGGGACATGAAACTATTAAATTTAGCTTGGAAAGCAGCTTATTGTATTAATCTGAAATCTTAAACATGGCTATTCCCTTGAGTAATGAGTCAAGCAGTAAAAAAGAAAAAAAAATGGAAAAGCTTTTGCCTCTGCTGCAGAATAGTGCTAAGGAAACCAGGAGGAGCAAGTACCAGCCCAGCCATCCACAGAGGCAGCTCAGGTGAAGGAGAGTTTACCTAGAGCCACACTGCTGGCTGAAATGGAGGAGTTTGTTAAGCCACCCCTCTATAAATGTGCAATTGGTTTGGCCGAAGCCTCTTCATACATGACATTGCATAAAAAAGACAGCCCAAGGTATACTCATGGTCAGTGTTCTACAAAGTGCTGTAACAGTCGAGTTGTAAACTTTGCTGAAGGGAAATGCGAGTTTCAGGTTGAAAAACAGTCATAGGCGATTATGATGCAAGGCCAACAGATAACGGTGAAACAAAACACCTTGATAAAATGTGTGAGGCACCTCAGGGTGCAGGAGCACCCTGTAACAATAACCCTCTGCAAAAAAAGTCATTCTTTATAAGGAAACCTTGGGTTAGGGTGAAGCTCATTGGAGTCTCCTACCAAGTACTGTACAAGGAACCCTTGTTGCTGAAACAGAGCATGGAGCTCGCTAATCCTGTCATCAGGAGCAAGTACAAGAAGAAATATATTTAGAAGAATGAGATGGTCTCTAATATAAGTCTAAGGCTTCATCAATGGAAGATGACTAAAAATAGATGACCTCATGCTGATGTAAATGGAGGCTCATGTCATCAACTGGAACCGTCACCAAATTGAAACTAGAAGCAAGATGCAATACTGTGGCCTCCAGTAGGGAGATCATAGTTTTGATGCCTCCCAGACCTCAAATACTCAATCAGGTCAACCTTTAGAGGCTGGAGCTTGAACTTTAGTAAATTGATGAGGAGGATAAGCTTATGCAGCTTCAACAGCATCTCATTGTTAGCTAGTCGGCCCAGAAGTGCTTACTAGCTAAGTAGTCACTCAAATGTACAAGTTGTTGAGGGTCAGCACAGTACTGTACTTGAATGTTCTTGAGATTTTGTTTGCAGAGCAAACAAAATCCCATGAAAGTCCGGTCAAGTTCTTGGAATAAAGTTTATCCTGGATAAAAAATCTCTAAAGCCACATCAGGTGGGTGAGGCTGATCAGTTGGTCTTTTGGTTGGTTTAAGCACTAATTTGGTGGTCATCTGTGATGCCAAGTTCAGAAAAAATTTAAATTTTATATGTAATTGGTTGTAAAGTAGTAATAATCTCTCCACTGGCTCCAAAAAACACATTTCCTGCAGGAATGTTCAAACATTGTGTGATGCCATGATTCATATCACTTGCCCAACTGTACATGATCCATATCCAACAACATTGTGATCTTACTTGAGGGAGCATTCAAGTGTTCAGAACCCAGAATTTGTTTTATTTTCATCAGTTTGCTTGCTTGCAGAATATAATTCCTAATTTTTATTTTTATTTTTTGTGATAAAGGTTTATCACAAGATGAAAAAAGCAACTGTGCTTCTCCTACTATGCTAGATGACAGGAGTGCTGCCAAGTTGGAAAGAGACCATGTGCTTCAGGTGTATGATCAGATAGCAGAGCACTTCAGTGTTACCAGACACAAACCGTGGCCACAAGTGTTAGAGGTGAGTTGCCAGGAGACTTCTGTTTGTAATTGTTTCTTGATAGCTTACTTAGCACGTATCATAATGAAAGCAGTTCTCATGAAAGTGATAATGTTATAAGCAGTTTAAAGTGACTGGGATTGTGCTCTGGTCAAGTAATGTTAATATTATTTGACTGCACATTTGGAAAGTATTTGTGGAGTATCACTGAACCATAGTATAACAAACTTGGTCACTACCGGTTCTTCAACATTGTAAAGATTCATTTAATTAAAGATTCACTCCAACATTACAGCCTTGGAGTGACTCGTATAATTTTGAAACCATGCACTGTATATGCCAGTATCATGATGTTATTAATGACATATGCACGCGTGGTTAGTCAGTTTAAACACTGTTTTGTCTACTCGGCAAATAGATACATAACCTCTGAATGTAGTCACAAGGAGATAGATAACTACTTTTTTTTATAAATATTGAAAGGTAGGATCTGGTATTGTTTTTAATTATAAAATTATTTTATCTTCAGAATTTTCTGTGAATGGGGTATGGCAATATTAGCACATAGGCCACGCTTCTCATTAGATTTATATAAGCCAAAATATACGACCTATTTTTAAGTGACCCATAACTACTTTTTATAAAAATATTTTTAAATAGTCATCATATAATTTCTTATATTGACTATTCCAGTTTGTTTGTTCGTTACAATTGGGATCGTTCTTTCTGGATGTTGGATGTGGAAATGGCAAATACATGGGTCATAACAACCAACTTTTCCAGGTAAAGTAAACAAAACAAAAATGGATACATTAATTTACGTCAATGTTTTGGAACATTCAAATATATTTTTTTTTGTGTGTGAATCTTAAGCAATAAATAGATTTTCTTGTAACTTTCAGATTGGTTGTGACACCAGCTCAGAACTGATGAAAATTTGTAACACTCGAGGCTTTGAAGTTTTAACATGCAACTGTTTGCAGTTACCCTTTAGGGATTATTTGTTTGACGCCGTCGTGTGTGTTGCTGTGATACATCACCTTGCAACTGAGGTATGTTGAGTGTTCTTTATACAAGTGTGAGAAGTATTTGCATTTGTTACCTGCATGCTACATAAAAATACCTGCATGATGAGTTTAGGGCAGATCTCTTAAAGGATATTCAATATGGGTGACTATAACAGTTCTGACAATGATGTTGAGAAACACAAAGTTGAGAGTTGACTTTATTAAAAAGGTTCTTTGCCTGTAAGGGCTTTATCAAATCTTGCAGATACTGTACAGTGCACAAAATGATGATAGTGAACTAGATAAAAATAAAAGTATTCATTTCTCTCATATCTCTGGATTTGTGTTAAAATATATGAAACATTGCAAATGTAGTCAAAAAATTGCAGGTAGTTTGTTGATGAAGGTATCAACTAGCATTGAAGAGGAAATGATCTGTGATAAGTTTTGAGAAGAAATTTCAAATAAGATTCTGCCCTGGAAATGCAGATTAAAACCCTGCATTTCCAGTGCTCTTATATATCCAAGTATTATACAGAACTGATGAAAAAATTATCCTCTTTGGGAAATGACTAACAAAGAATATATGCATCATGCTAAAATAATATTAAACCCTAATCAGTGTTGAGTTAGATATTGAAATTCTTAGTGAGAAGCGACTACTTTTTTTTACAAATGCATATGCATGAAGAATATTATTTGATTTTATTATGAAAAGGTAATTGAAATATTAAACAAAATTTGTATATTAGCATAAATTATTTATGCATTTTATGAACTTATTAATTCTAGAATATAAATAACTATTTCCGTGTGTTATTTAGGAACGTCGTGTTGCTGCAGTAGCAGAGATTGTGAGAGTACTCAACGTTGGGGGACGTGGCCTTATTTATGTATGGGCCATGGAGCAGCAAAGGGGAATGAAAAGGTCTACTTATCTCAAGCAAAATAAAGCTAATAGGCATGATACCCAACAGGATGAATTATTGTTGCATGTTAACGAGAAACTAACAACAAGTGAGCAGACTTTGAAGAACAAAAATGTTCATGAAGGAGAGAATAGAGAGAAACATCAAGTTAGCACGGCAGTAAGTACATCAGGTGCTTCTTCACTTCCAGTACATATCAACCGTACCGAATTTGTGCAGCAAGATATGCTTGTCCCTTGGAAACTTAAGCCCCAGAGAAAGAAAGAAGCAAATAGTGATAACAAGGGACAGAATGAATGCGTGTGTAGAATTTCACACAAGTGCAGAGATAACAGATACAGAAATAACGGGCCTTCTTTGGATAAACTACAAACATCTTTAGAAAATATGATAGTGTGTAACCATAGTAAGTCAAATAATCAAGAACTCCAAGCAGAGGCAAAACCTGATCCAGTTTTCCACAGATACTATCATGTTTTTAAGCAAGGAGAATTGGAAAACTTATGCTCCCATTTAAATGTTAATGTAATTAAATCTTACTATGATGAGGGAAATTGGTGCATTATATTTGAAAAGGTAAGTTGAAACTGTATCTCATTTATTATTGTTAAAATTTGACATTTGCTAAATAGTTAGCATTTAATAAACAGTATTATCATGTACGAGATGCGTTAGTTGATGACAATCTCATAACGTCAACAATTTGCATTCCACTATATCTTGACAGGCAGTGAGTTTTTACCTAGGCAGGGACAGTAATGCATGGATTAAAAAATGGCTCAGTATTCATATCCATATATAGATAGATTTTTCACTACTATTTATGTATTACAGTACTAATTAAACAATTGTGAAATATGAATAGATCTTTAATGTCAAACTGTTTGCTATGGAACCCTTGATACCCTTCATCTTTAAAATTGTTGATCCATTTGTATGGAATATATTATCAGGATGTATTGTAGCCATTATTGGTTTCTTTGATCACCAAAATCATAATTTTCTTTCATTAAATCACGTTTTTAAATATAGATAAAAAAAATGCTTCCGAGTAGATTTAGCAATTTCTTGACGCAGTTTAGGAAGAAATTAGCAGTGATAGGTATGTGGTCATATCTTGCAGACATATTATGACAGACAACATAGTTATTAGTTAATAATTAAGAGAAAAATCAACTTAAAGACTAGTGGCAATAGAAGAGTTAGATGTTATTGGTTTTCTATAATAAGGAGTACAAACGAGTTATCCCCCCCAAAAAAGGAAAAAAAACTCGCAATTTTTAACAACCTGCCTTTAGCCGTGTGCTACAATGCTGTTCACAACATGTGAACAGCTATGATCAACTTCAGCTTAAAGAATGCCTCAAACCTCATGTGATAACTCTCGGTTTAATTTTAAGGTTTAATGACACTCTTCACTGCCGGTAAACCACTGCCCTTATAGCTTCCAGATTAATCATGAAAAGATTTAACATTTTTATACATACATGTATGTATGTATGTACAGTAAATGTGTGTGTGTATATTTGTATAGAGTTGGTAGATCACCGATACAGTGAAAGGTTTCTATGTACGTAGTAATGAATGTTTTAAGAGTTAAGTGTGTAATGAGTGGCAGGTTTGATGTTAATGTATTCACTGTAGTTATTCAATGTGATATACATGGATGTGGATCATAAGGGAAGTCAAGGTTTCAGCACTGCATGTAAATCTAGTATATACAGTAAGCATAATGTGATTATCTGAAATGTATAAAATTTGATGTATACAGATAATCTTTCTTTTAGCAGTGTGTGAGAGTTATATGGACTAGAATTTTTTTTTGACTAAAGTATGTTACAGAAGACTTAAAAATGAATGTGGACAAAAGTAAAGTTACGGTAGTGGAGAAAATTAAATTTAGTGAAATAAATTGGTGAATTGGTTGGAGTGAAGTGGTTGGTCAAGTTAAATATTTATGATGTGTAATTCTGAAAGAGATATTTGGTGCAATTGTAGGGAGCTGGTTCAATGAAAGACCTTGTTAGGAAAAATAAGATGGGAATATATGCAGCTCAGAGGCCTGAACAATGAAATGGTACTGTAGTACCACTCCAGTATGCAGGCCTAACTCATAATGAACGCTTATGAAATGTGATGTGAGATGAACGTGAAAAATAAAGAAATAAGGTAGGAACAATAGATAATTAAGATTCATGTGCAGTGTTAAAAGAGTAGATAGAGTAATTAGTGAAAATGTCGTGCAGATATGTGGAGTGTATTAAAGTAATTGAAAAAAATAAATGGAAATGGAAAATGTTGGTAGGTGCAGGGAATGAAGGTCAGGAAGGTGGGGGGGGGGAGGAGGGCCAGGTGAAAAACCTGGGAGAGAGTTTGAAGAACTCAAGGATACAGGAAGAGACTGGCTTGAGGGATGCCACTGTAAGGAGGAATTGAATATACTTGTGTATAATGGCATTTCATGAGGCTCACTGTGCACCTGATCTTACGAAGTGCTGCTATGGATGACTGCTGGTATGTGGTAGTACTTGTTTATTCAGGATGTTATATGCAATATTATTTAATAAATTATTAATGCCCCCTCAGTCACTCTCCAAGTCATAAGCAGGGTTCTCATAGGACACCTACGATCTTGCCAAGCTCTCATCAACGTGTGTTTCTGGCGACATGTAACTTATCAAATGGTTTTGTCACCTAACTAAAGAGGGAAAGTGAAGATAAATTTCATGTAGCTCCCTCATTTGTGGCCCGAAAGTCCTTCTGCACTCCTCTTGAATTGAGCTACTGCTCAATACTGCTTTGACAGTACTTTATGGAATGCATTCTTAAGCCTTGATGTTTTTCTCTTTAAATTCACACACAGCATCTGCACCTGGAATCTCTAGAGCTTTTCTGGTCTGCCCAGGTTTTTATTACTATTCAGATGTGTTCTCGTCTATCATTCTTTTCATTTGCTGGGCTGGTCATTCACTTGCTTTGGTGGTGCATGTTTTGCTTTGCAATGAGGCTGCTTCACCTTATTTATTCTGTAAATGGGGATGCTTCCATTCTGGCTTTGAGTATTACGAAACTTCACTGAATAGCTCTCAGGTGCTTCCTTATCTTCCCTGAACATCCTGATTTTCAATGCATTTTTGGGTGACCTGGGCTTCAAGTAGAAGCTGCTTGCTTCTCTTCTCAGACCCTGTTATGATGATGCTGCTGCCATCTAGTGGTGCAGTAGTTAGCAAAGGAGTAACTAGCTATCCCTCCATTTCTAGTTATTTCTCAAACAGTGTGTTGATCTTTGACTTTCTATGGTACAGTGTTAATGAGGGCCCATTTTGGTGGATGAATGATGATCCTCACTTGCTTTGACTTCTAAATTAGATGTCACAACAATTTGATACAAGTTGCTTGTCAGGCTTAGATCAGTGAAAGCATTGTGGGAGTGGAGTGTTCTTGGAGTGTTCTAGGAGTATCCTGATCATTTACCTGAGGGCCACCATCTCTAGAGGCCTTGATGTGGACAGGAAGTTGGTGGCTTGTCAAAGTCCCCAACCCCCCTCCTTTCCACTTGTCTTCATTTTACCCAACTGGATTTTGAATTGCAGCAATGTTTTGGCATTTATAGCTTTGGCAGGTAGGTAGTAACATGAGTTTATTATCCTTTTGGGTAAAAAAGCATATACTTTCTCTTATGTTGTGACTCATTGAGGTTGAAGCTACTGCTCCTTGTATGTATTACATGTGATATTTTAAAGAAGTGGTTTGGTTCAGTATCCTCCAAATAGTTCAATATTTTAAAAGTTTCAATGAGATCATTCTGGTCATGTCTGGTTTGCAGTGTTATACACAAAGTGTCATCTTATAATAACAGACTTTTTAGTTTCTAGATTAATAGGATTTAACAAAGTTTAAGCATGCTTTCAAATATTTAAACAATACACATGCATTATAAAAGATACTAAAAATGTAAAAACAACTTTATTCCTCTTAGAATCATAACTTTTCCAGGTAATAATCTTTCTCAATTTCGAATGCTTGATTTTGGTTATGAAATTATGATAAATTTTGAAAGGTTTACTAGTTTGTAGGGATTTTTAGAATAGTGTTCTTAATGTGAATGTAGCTGTGACCTTTGCATGCAAATTCAGCAGTCCATTTGTAATTTTACTGTAAGAATGATTTTAAGGTACATGTACCTATAAGTGCATAAGATGCACAAGTTTGCTAAATAACTTCTGATTTAATTTTTTTATTTAAGCTAGATTAAATTTATTAATATTTGCATTAGCTGTTGAAACTACAACCTCTTAACTATTTAATCCCAATTTGTATTTAATCAACACTACTACTGAAATTAGATTTTTGTAAATATTTGTATTTTATTTTGTAAATATAACTCATACTGCTGAATTACCATTTCCACTGTTACCTTGAAACTATACAAATAAGATGGATATTCTGTACAGTATATATAATTATATATACAGTATACCATGACAATTTTGACTGAGTCTGCTTGTTGGAGGACTGCTATAAATCCTTATTATAACTCCTAGTCATAGATGTCTGAAAAGTGTTACGTAGTGTAATACTTGGAGGAAGAAAAAAGTGGACTCGAGTACGTCCTTTAATATTTAGAAGGAATCTAGAGCCTAATCTGCTCTTGGAGATCTTTTTAACTTTGAAGAACCAGAAAGATATTTTATATCACTGATGAATTTCACTTAGTGTGTGATCAAATTAAAGTTCCCATTACCAGCTTTATGATGATTATGACTAATATTCTTTGTTGGAAGTTTCAGATGCCCACAAGTACAGTAATTTCTGGTGTGCAAGATAAATATTTATTGAATATATTGCATATATCATTTATTATGGAAGTAAAAAAAAATAGGGAGATATTTATAAATACTGAAGTAAATTGATACTGTAGCAACTCATAATAGAAGTGCTGACATTGTAACAAGTAGGTAGGTAGGTGTAATGTCATCCTTTCTGCCAACATAATGTAACAAAATCATGTCAAAGCTATAAATTTGAGGAATTTCAATAAAACATTAATAAAACTATCCAATTTCAATTATAACTAAGTAAATGTTACTGTAAAAAAGTTCTTCACTAAGTATTGATTAATCTTTGACTATTGCAGGTGGGTCATTTTTGTTGTGTTCCCAAATTAATGTTCTTTGTTATAGAGATAAGCAACAGGTTCAGTAGATCAAACTACTGTAATATAAATAAATTGTAATCCACAATCTTGTTTGCATTGGCTTCCTTAGGAAGCACTTTCTGAAGAAAGAAGTTGGACATTTTGAGGGTACTGGAATTTCTATTCACATTAACTGCTCACCAATCACAAGCAAGTAATTATCAAAAGAAGGTACCAAGTCGGGGAGGCTATGTAACATCGGCAAATGTGCTGGGTATTCAAAAGGCAATAAATATCACTAAGGGTGCCAATATGAGAACAAAAGCACATAAGGCAAACAACACAAAAGGTATTAGATTCACCAAGGATTTTATCGAGGGGAAAGGTGACAGCGAGGGACAATCGGCAAACAAGATGCATGCACATCCTGGCAGTCAGGACATTCATCAAGGATATGCACAACCGTAAGAGGGACAATGCAGTTTGGATAATAAGGAGCAGGGTGGTGCTCCATTAAGTGCCTGTGAGCTAAATGAGAATGGCCAATACGTAACCTCGCCAGAGCCATTACTCGCCACCAATGATGGTGATAGGAGGAAGGCTATGGGGACACACTACCCTTAAGAGCACGCAGCTTGTTACCAGTAACAGAAGACCAGTGATCCTACCAATGGGCACAGATTGAGGAATGAATAACGGTAAATCTAAATAAGGAACACCTTTGCCAGATGGGGCAAGTGTGGAATAGCCTCCTCTGCATTAGCATCCTCCCTTGGGTATTCATTCCACATTCTGGGTTCCTTGATTTGCAGAGCATTGCTAATTTGGTTAAGTCGCACTCTTGTAATGTCGGGTATTTGTTTCGGTGTGGTGCCCATGGGTTCTGTTACAAGCTTCTAGGAAGCATTTAAAGGTCAGGATTGACATTACAGTTCAGAGTTTTAAATATATAGAGTACACCTGAGAGGATGTGCAGTGACTTAGTATCTACTATATTCTAAAATTTAAGTAAGCATGCCAGAGTAAGTACGTAAGCATCTGGGGCCAGAGTTATTGTTCTAATAGCAGATTTGTGTTGAGTAATTAGAGGACATAGATGATTATGGGTAGTAGAACCCCAAGCACAAATACCATAATTGAGATAAGGATAGGTGAGAGTACTAGAGTTTTACCAGGACAGGGCGAGGTACATAATACAGTATCTGTTCTTAGAACGAATGCCGACAGTTTTATAAACTTTTTTTTTTTTTTTTTTTTTGCTATATTTTGAATGTAGCTTTGGAAATTCAGCTTATCGAAGAGAACACCAAGGAATTTACCATCTTTGTTACTAATTTGGATATTGTTTATTCTTAGATTAATTTGATCTGAGGATTTAATACCAAATATAATATAGAAGGTTTTGTCAATGTTAAGGGTGAGTTTGTTAGTAGTTAGCCAAAGATAAGCTGTATTTAGTTCAGTATTCAGTGTCATTCAGAGTAAGAGGGTTAGGACTGGAGAAAATGAAGGTTGTGTCATCAGCAAATAAAATTGGGTTGAGGTGTTGAGAGGCATTTGGAAGGTCATTAATGTAGATGAGAAAGAGGAGAGGGTCAAGTATGCTGCCCTGAGGAACACCAATGTTGATGGGTATGGTGGGAGAAATGGAATCATTCGCAGAAACATACCTGTCACTAAGGTAAGACTGAAGGTATTGGAGGGCATCACCTCTAACTCCATAATGATGTAATTTAAGGAAGAGGTTGTGGTGGTTGACAGTGTCAAAAGCTGTATGTAGGTCAACAGATAACCCAACAGGGAACTCATTTTTATCAAGAGCTGCATATATCAAGTTAATCATACTAATCAGTGCATCGTTAGTGCTTTTTTTGAGGGTCTGAAGCCATACTGGCAAGAGCTAAGTACATTGTGTTTAGCTAGATAAGAGTAAAGCTGTTTGTAGATTAGCTTTTCAAATATTTTTGACAAGATTGGCAGAATTCATATACAATATGTCTGAAATTGTTGACATCAGGAACCGTTGCTCCTTGTTTATGTTGCATCTGACATTTTGAAGAAGTTGTCTGGATCAATATCCTCCAAATTGTTCAATATTTTAACAGTTTTAATGAGATCTGCCCTTAACAAAAAATATACTATATATAAATTTATATATGTATTATCATACATTTAACAGCATGACAATAATATCCCAAAATGTACGAATTTAAAATTATTCCTCTCCTTATCTTAATTTTAAGGTATACAGAAATGCTGTACAAAGTTGATTTTATAAATAGATTCTAATACATCACTAGAACAAATTTATATGGTGATCACCGATCATAGAAAACGTAAAATTTGTAACAGAAAAATAAGCGATCCCCTGTCCTCAAAAACAACAACAAGAGACATAGCAGTCATCGGGAGGACAAATCTTCCATGCAAATTGCACCAAGACATCAAAAAGAAGAAACCATTATTGACGCGTCTCCGTACAAACATAAAGAAGGTTAGAGATGTACGTACCACGTCCCACTTAGTGTTTTAGATGTAAAGGTTTTAACCACATTGAATGGCTACACTAGACATATTAAATGTGGGAAATTCTCTGGTTCCCATTACACACAAGACTGTGCGTCAGATATACTCACCTGCTCAAACTGTGGTGATCATGACATTACATTCAAACAATGTCCTTCATACATAGCAAAAACTTAGGCTCTCCCCACCAACAATCTGCAATACAGTAGTGCACTGAAACACCCTAACTCAGTCTGTCAACAACAACTATCTCACACTCAACGACAACTTTTGCTTGTACCCGATATGTCTGTCACTGACAATCCTGTAACCCCAGTCCAATCCTCTCCCATAAAATGTAAAACCTAGTCCTGATCTTGTTGAAACACTTGTCACTTGCATTGAAAATGCACTAGGAAAGATGCTTGACCGACTCCTAACTAAATTCTTTACACAAGTAATCCAACCCATCCCCGAGGCTGACCCAACACACCCCATCCACATCTAAAGACCATGACATCTGACCTAACACAGCTATCATTGCTGTATACAAATCTTTTGAACTGATGCTGGATAAGCTCCTAAGTAACTACTTAGCATGACTTACCCAAGTCACTCCCCATGCTGACTTTCCACAAACTACAGCCACCAGCACCAAGAGTAAGAAATTCCCCACTGTACAAATCTTCCAGCGACCTGGTACAAACCACACACTCCCACAACACATCCTCTAACCACTCCCAGAAATTAAAAAAAATGAACTACTAGCATGTCAAAGAAGACTGATGCAATCTCATCCCAGATGTAAAAATTTGAAATACAACAATGTAACCTATCTTTAACTAACCTACCCCAACATAACCTAACCTTATACACACTAACCCCACATTACTTAATGTTCTCTAACTTACCCTACCCTATCTTAATTGCGACTAACTCCCAAACATACTTCGACTCACAAACTTATTCTCTTGACTATACTTGATCATTTTTGTCTCTGCCGGGATTCGAACCCGGAATTCTCGATTGCAAGTCGAGAACGAAACTGACTGTACTACCGGGACCCCTCAAAGGAGACTTCAAAACTTTTCTTAATGGTATATAGTCATAAAGGTTTAGCCCTCTCTCCTGTTAATTACTTTATCTTCAAAACTTTTCTATTACATGTAACATACCTACTCACATTAGAGCCCTGGAAACCAACTCAAGTAGAATTATGTAACACTCAAATTAAACAAATTACTCTTTTAATAATGTCAGTGAAAAGTACGCAAAAATATTCTTTAATTATATACTGTACTGTACAGAATAAGCCAATTTTCAAACAGTAAAGAGTCGGTGCAGATTCTTGATCGTCAGCGTAGTTGATTATCTAATGAGAAACTTTAAATTAAAGCCATGGCCTTATATCCAATATATTTCTATTTTAACTATTTGGACAGAAAAATTCATATTGACCCTTTCATGAAATGGTTTAATATAATAAATAACTTGGTTTTCACATAACTTGGCTTGTAGCAAAAATAAATGGAGAATGATTATCAACTATCATCTTAGGAAGGTAGTTGAGGAAGTTATGACATCAGGTAATTTTTTTTTTTAAGTTAGATGAAATAACATTTAAAGAAATTGGTCAATATAATAAATATTGACCCATTTTATGATTGGGTCAGCATTAACTATTTAGTCCAATGGGCCAACAATGTTAAATATGAATTAAAAAATTATTTAGGCTAATATAATATAGATCTCTTGCAGCTCAGAAAGCCTAAGCCAATAACAGCTCACTATGTTGGACACATTCTTCAGTTACATCAATAAAAATAGGTAATAATGATGTACAGTGTCATGCTCCATAGCTTAGGCACATTCATAAAGTTGAGTTTAATTATATATTAACACTTTACATTTCAGTTATAAAATTTTAGCCAAGTGTCAAAATTAAGTTTTTCACAGAATGGTTTCTCTGTTCAACAGATAACATGGTTTTTAGCAGAAAGAAATGGAGAATGATTATCAAGCCTATCATCTCAGGAAGTTAGTTGAGGAACTTACAACATCGGGTAAAGATAAGCTAGATGAAATAACATTAAAAAAAGTGAAAAAAATTTGCAAGTCTTCTAATATATACGTTATTGAACTATACAGGCTACTCAGTAAACTGCTCAAGAAGAGACATGCTGAAATAAGGTTTAGTACTTTCCAAATTTGTGATGAAATTTTTTGCAGGTCTCACTGTTTCCGTGAACTGTTGCTTAAAAACTTTTCATTTTTTGTTGACCATGTATTGGGTTTAGACCCAAAACACCCCCTTCCAAAACCAGAAACAGTTTCCAGAAACCTCAAACAAAAAGCTGTTGAAGCTATTCAGCGTTGGTATGATAATTTTAGTGAAGGCTATGTAACACTAAAACTTGGCTATAATTACTTGAGAGACTGTAAGAAAGTTGACTTTGCTGAACTGACAGCCAGAACTGTAGCAGAACGACAAAGAGCAGAAGAAGAGAGACAGAGAAATGAAGAAATTAAAAGAAATAAAATTGCAAAGGTTAACGCTGATCTTCAAGAAAACTCGTCTGAAATTAAGGATTGTATAGTACAGTTTCGTAATTGTTTTAGGTTGTTGATCCCAGATGTTCATGATTTTTTCATTGTACTAAATGATGAAGATACCTCACAGGCAGGTGGTTTCATACATGATGATAAAGATGATGACAAGGGAGGTTTCCTGCCAGAGGAAGTTGAGGAAGCTACGGAGCAAATTGAATATGGTTCAGAATTTATGCGTGGTCATGGTATTATGAAAGGGACTAGTGTACAGATCAATTTGGAAGATGTCAGAAAAATTCAAGAAACTACAGATAATGAGGTAGTGATACGGAACCTCAAAGAACATGTACAAATTCTTAGCACAAAATATTTGCCTTTAATTAAGGGTTGGGAGCAAACTATGCGACCACATAGTGAGGGAAATGGTCATATAATCAAATGTATTCTTGATCTAAAGCAATTAGTTGAAGGATCTGTAAAAATGTTTGAATCTTTAAAAATCACTCCTCAAATTTGTTTGAATCCTACTGTAAATGATGATTTTGATAGTGATGACGATGAAGACTTTCTAGAGGTGCCTATTGATGATCCCAGAATAGTGAGTGCTGCAGAGTCAGAAGCTGCTCTTTTAGGCATGGTAAAATCATCTAAAAAATCACTTAGTGTACAACCCAGTGATCCCTACAATCAGCCATCAACATCTGGTGTATCTTGCCTGTCTGAAGAACACACTGCAAAAGAAGCACTTCAAATGAAGAAAAAGCCTCAGACCATAAGGTGTCCAGATGAATATCTTGCCAAAGAGAAGTTTATACCTAAACGCCTTCAAAATCCACTAGCTGGGCTAAGTCAAGTGTGGACAGCCACCCCAGATTTACATGAGCAGGAGGAAATACAGAATACTGGAGGTGTTTTGGGAGTTGCAACCCAAAGAGTAAATTATGAGCGGATATGGGAACCCGTGAAATGGGCTTGCCGAACGCCACTCAAGTCAGGTCGCTTATGTCCCCGTAAAGATCGAGAGAAATGCCCTCTTCACGGCCCAATTGTACCTCGAGATGAAGTTGGAAAGCCTCTTCGTCCTGAAGATGCAGCTAGAGAGCGTGCTGCTCGTGAACAATATGAAAGAGATCATCCAGCCTGGCAGGATCCTCAACTTTTAGCCGAATTAAAGGCAGCTACAGGTGTTGATCTCAAAGTGCAAAAAGGTCGGCAAAAACGCAAACGAAGATATGAAAATCTTACTGATCTGAAGAAGACTACAGCCAGAGATAGACTTGCCAAGAAAGTACTAAGTGGGAAGGCATTGCGACGCATGAATGCTGCTCTAGCTCGAGAAAATACATCAGCCCCAAATCAGTCTTCCATCTTTAACTTTGGTCAAAATTAAAACATTTCTTATATTACAAAATATTGTATTGTGTATATACAGTATGTTATCAGTGTATAGTATTTTATATTTTGGGTACTACAAGTGTATAATATTTTGTAATGCTGTACAGTACCAAATATAAAACATTCATTAAAGTGTCTCTAATAAGAAGGAATGGACATTAATAGTTACTATCGCTGACAGTCTGAAAAGCAGTACCTGTACTGCATAATAATTGCAGTGCATTTTTTTATTTTTTTGGCATGGATATTCCTGCATGAACTTTGAGCCTCTGACTGGCCCACCAAGTTTTACTCATTTATTATTTTTATCAATTGCGCATTAATAATGAATTCATATTCAAAGTATAGTACAGAAGTAGCATTTTAATAACAAGGCTACATAGGTATTATCAGCAATGTTTGTCAGTCGTGTTAAAAAAAAACAGATGGATGTAATGAAACGCCATCTTCTGGGTGGGCCCCGTAGGCTCCCTGGAGCTACCTCGACCAGTCACGCCGAAAAGCATCTATCACGGAAGCTTCACAGGTAGGGAAGGGTGCCACATACACTGGGAGATACCGCGACCACACCGACGCGAGGTCCACCTTTCCACCGAGGTGGAGGTCCACCTCCAGTGGCCCGAACTTCCGGAAAAACTGACTGAAGGAGTCTGCGTCAACCGTTCATTCCATAGACAGGCCATCTGCCAGGACGTTGGACTCGCCCCTGATTGTGAACTGCACGGAGAGCTAAACCCCAGGTACTCAGCAGAAGAGCCACTCGAAACGACCAGCCCCAAAGAGCCAAGGATCGAAGAGACCCCCTGTGGTTCAGACAATGAACCACTGGGGAGCAGTACGAATGGAGCCGGATTGTAGAGCCTCGAACAAGCTGAATTTGCTGGTGGGCGAGCAGCTGGCTCGGCCTGGCTACTAGCCAGGCTCGTTCGCCCCCCCCCCCCCCCCCCCGAGCATGGATTAGTATGTAATGTTTGTTAATGTATTTTTAATGGGCATTGTATTAATAAAGTACTGTATTAGTCTTAATAAAGAAAAAACTGATTCCACAGTAATATTTATTCTGATATTTAGATTTTGCCCAAATTCCCCTGCAGTTTTTTAAAATATCGTACATATCGGAAATCTTATTCTTTAGCGTTATTTTTCAGCCGAATTCGGCCAGAATGAGCCAGAAATTCGAAAAAAACTCCAAATAAATATTTGGAGTTTAAAATTACAAACTTATTTCGAAAATATGCAGATTAGTGAAAACGGCGATAGGTCAGATTTTGCCCAAATCCTCCTTATTAATGATTGTCAGTTGTGGTTGTAGCTTTCTTGGTAGTGGGAAGAAATGGACTACTAAACACCTGTGGCCTTTTCTTCTTTATTAACAAAACATAATAATCTACTGGGCCACGTGGGCTCAAGATAACCAAGATAACCACGTAACAGTAGAATAGACCGAAGATGGGATTGGGTCACCGCTCCTCCTGAGACGATTGGAAAGGAATATACCACTGAACTTACGATTGGAAAGGATATATACCACTAACCTAATGACTGGAAATGGATCACCGGGACTTAGACGATAGCTTGAATTGAGCAATAGCGGCCTTGAGGGCAGTTTAGACCGAGACCTTGTTAGCATTTGGCATTGGGTGATTGTGGCCACGAGAGCAACTGGAAATGGGTTACCGTTAAATTATAATTATCAATATTATATACCTAAATAACAGAAAACCATATATAGTTCCGGTAATGCTCAGTAACTTATACACGTATAGTATTTTACAGGCTTATAAAAACATCAGAAATTCCATGTCTTTCTCATGAATAATTCACAGTTGCAGTTGAGTTAAACTTTCACCAGTGGGGGACAGTTAGACTTTCTCCCGTTCTCACCATCTCAAACAGTTGCTGAATATGATTATAACATTCATTCCCCAGCACACAGGTAGAAGGACGCAGCTCAAAACCCTTTATGATGTGTTTACGAAAGTTGCCATATAGGCTACTAGAGATTTCACCTTGATCCATAATGACAACAAAGTTCAAATTATTTATCAGATAAACAATTTAGGTATAAATTATCAGATATATTTAGCACAGGGTACAAGAAGTCAGTATCAAAAGCAAGATCATTACGTAGTGGATATGTTCTTATATATATATTCAGGTTTAAATATATTTGTTTATATAAAACATTGACTGCAACTGCTCGTGTGGGTCCAGCAGCGGAAGTAACCGGATATCAACACGGATCTGGGTCTACGATACCATTGTTTTACAAAGCGTCAAAGGGGGGCTTTGTGGCGTCATACTCTGTTGACCATTGTGCCGGACACGCGAGGCCTAGTTTTATACACGTCACACTGGTGTTTTTGACTTAAATGTTGAGGTGGCTGGACTCTTCCCCCGTTATATCACGGTTACTTTATTGTGGTAAATAAACACTATTCATATTTTCTGGATACTTGGGTAAGCGAGATTATATATATTAGGTAAACATATTAGACATGAATTAATAGACAAAATTACATGTGCGATTATACCATATTATAAGTCATCAGATATCTTTTACCTATACCTTATCAGCTATAGTTACATTTTCATGGTTTCCCCAGGGGCCACAGTAAAGAATAAAAGTAACTAAATAATTAAGTTATGAAAAAGTAATGGAAAATATCCAAAATATTATAATACACTTTTTTAAAGTAGTGGCTTTAGAATCACGGCTATAAAAATGACGATGCGAAGATCACGTTGGCAAAATAATTCTGAAATTATGTAGTTTTCTTCTTACCGTGTTTGGCAATATCCTAATTATTACAGGTTTAAATTCTCAACTTTCCTATCATCTTGTTTAATTTGCTTTGAGGACAGGCTAGAGCAACAAACTGCCTCGTCAAATCACCTGGATAATTTTGATATATGTTATGGTCTGAAAACATATTACAGTTCCAGTAATATTCTACTTGTAAACTGGCAAGTGAACCTTTGTTCTAAACAGACATTATTTTCAAGTTATCTCTTTAATGTATTATAAAGCGTTGGTTTGAAACCTAAAAGGTGTAAAGGGAAACATTTTCTTTTAAACAGTCTAAAAAAATCTGGTTTTCTGTAAACGAAATTCAAGGGTATACTTAAATATACTTTTCGAATTCCATAGTTCACATTTTAGGCAATATTGCACTGTATTAACCTAACCAAATGTAATGAAATCTAACCTAACTTCACTCCACTCATTCTCTTGTGCTATTTACATGTACAAAACCTTGTTCCTAAATACTAATCTTGATCTGAAACTTTTCCTTGATAGGTGTATCAGAAGCCATGAGCTCCACACCATAAATAAATATCTCTGATATTCCCAGAGTCAAACTAAATCTATGCAAATAAAAGGACCTAGTCTATGGCACTCACTCCCTAATAAATTAAAAAGTTGTCTAACCTATGCCTCATTCAAAAGTAAAACCAAAAAGTACGTAATTTACATTATTAATTAAAATAATAATAAATTTATATTTGGTTTATTATGAACCACATATACGTATCCCGTGGGCTGTTGAGCAAGGTTACAGAATGACATAAGACTCACGAGTTGGATTATAATTTTTAAGTTAAGCAGTTTATTTAAATTAATCCAATTACATATTGGATTACATACAATTACTACTTATTTGTCACCCACATATAGAGTGGGCGGCGGTGAATCAGAGCTTCATTAACATTACATTAAGGACCTGCCCGAAAAGCTGCGCGTACTAGTGGCTTTACAAGATTGTAAATACTATGCTATGTATTCTCACAAACCCAATGTACCTTCTTGTATATAAATAACTAAATAAATAACATAAAAGCGACAGGAAAGGAACTGTGTTCATCTGGCTAGGCAAGTTAGTGATTATCTAGTGTTCAGGAACATGAACAGGAAGTGTGGGGGTTTATGTCACGTGAGAAAATCATATTCTTCCAACACCTTTCCCGGTGTCTTGCCATGTCGGTTATTGTTGCATATTCAATCTACGATTTATGATAATTTTTGCAATGAAATATTGCTGTATACTTTTTAAATATACTCTTACTAGAAGTTTGATAAAAATCGAGTAAAATATTTAATAATGTTAAAAACATATATATATATTAGACATGTGGCAAGAGCAACGGTGGATGTGGGGCAGGACGCCTCGCCCGACCTGTCAACTCCAGTTATCGCTCAACTGTGGAGGGATGCGCTGGGTGGATTTACAGGAGTGCCCGAGTCCCAACAAATACGCAGTGGCACTTCGTGAATTTATCATATTTTTATCTCTAGTGTGCTTTTTTAAAATGAGCGCCAATATCAGTCACACGTTCCCCTTCTGATGGTATATCAGCTCGGAAACGTTTTCGAGGAGTGCTCACTGCAGACTTCCTGTGAAAGCGTAAAGAAAGCAGCATGAGCAGCAGCAGCAGAAAGTGGAGCTGCGTTGTGCGCTGCTTCTCTACATGTGTGCTCTTGGCACCATGGGCAGGTTACACAGAGGCCGAGCCATTACTCACACTAAGTAAGTATGTTATGAGGTATTTCGCCAGCCGTAACTATGTATACCAGCTTGGATTGCTTCCAAGTTACTCTGTAGAATTATAATCAATTCAAATTTTCGCGTAGGAATTTCCTCATATGCTGAAAATTTAATGTCTTTTGCCAGAAGTAAAGCTAGTTTGAGTCGGGTATTTATAACGTGGGTGGGGGGGATGATGAATTTAACCTTCCCCGAAGATAATGAAGGTAGTTTATAAATTAATAAATTTAAATACACCTTTATATAAACTTAAACTAATGAAAATTATATTTGTTAAAGACAATTTTTTTTAATCAAGTTCTCTGCGGAAGCACAACGCACATAAAACTTTTAATGCCTAGATAATAGTTTACAAATATAACCTTCTGCACGTTATAAAATGTGTAAAACAACTGTCAGTGCGTGAAGACAATCACGTGTAAATTCTAAGTAGAACAGTATTGGTGCA